TTTTTTTTTTGAGAAAATGCAAAGACCAATTAAAACTTTTGAATGATATCCATGGATATATAAACAGGAAGTATTATTCAGTCCAAGGCAATCAAATAACGATCACAGCAACCCTTCCAAATTTTCTGTTGTAGCATCAATATCTTTCTAGAATGCAGTCAACACCATCAGCAATTCAAGTGCAGACCAAATGATGACTGACCATGAGACATGCACTGGCCTACATGGAATTTTGTAAAGTTAGATAATATTAATGTAGAAGGAAGAGATCCACAACTCCATCATCGCGCTAATCCCGAAATACAGTCCTAATCTCCCCACCCCACCAGTGCAATGACAGACATCAACCATATTTTTTCCTATTCCTTCATCCCCATATCACCTTTGATTTGTACTCACTCTACATGAAGTGCAAATGAAATCCAAGAATGATAAACAAAAAAACAAAATATGTAGAACAGAAAAGAAAACATCATTTAAGAAACAGGAATTGGTTACAGCTGCATTTTACAGCACAACATGCAATTACAACCATGCAGTGCAAATTTGATACTCTTCACACTTAATTGTGCTCAGAGGCTCATCATTTCTTTTCAATGAAAAATGAATTCATTGAAGGAGCCAAATAAATATAAAAATGGAAAATTGTGATGACAAGTGGTTAATGAGAAATTGAGAAAACGATCAAACTATCATAAATGAGGAGCTGTTATAAGTAAATTATCTAAACAATCAATGAACATACCTCAATAAGCACATATAAAACCAATTAAAACTAATTAAAGAGCAAGAAACACGTTAAACCAGAACACATGCATCATAAATAAATGAATCCTAGGATCCATAAATAAGCTGAAATAAAGCTTGGGTTGATATGCCAGCGATATTTCTGATATGATTATGTCCTAGAAAATGACCATCTTATATCTGCTATGAAATTGCTTTCATGATACTATTTTGGCCTTTTCAATTTTGTCTCCAGAGTCCAGATCTTCGTATCTGTCTTACAATGATAAAGTAGACTGCCTTCGAATTTTCAACTTTATTTTTTTGATTGAAGTTAGCATTAAATTTTAATTTTAACATGTTTGATTTTTTAATTCTTTATTTTATACTATTTAGTTAGTTTTATTTTTTATGTGAAGTATTTTGATGATTTTTCGGTTTCTTTCATTTTTTAAGAAAACCATTAGAAATATTGAGAGTTAGATTCTCTAGTAAAGAAGTTGTGCAACTCAAACTTGATTTATTTGCTGAATAAGTTGAGCTCGATAAAATTTTAACTCAGTTGAAGCCCTTTGGGCCTTTACTATGAAGTCAGGCTTGCTCAAATTTGAGAATTTTGATGCTCGACTATATATAACTTTAAATGTTAGATATATCTTTAAAATTATATGAGAAAATTAGTTTGATACAACGTAGTTGTTAAATTAAAATGGCACATTTGAAAAAGGAATATTAATTAGTAATTCTTTTTGTCCTTTGTAAATTATTGTTGGCCGAATGTTAGTAGTAATTAAGGCTCCATTTGTAGTTTTGATTTTTTAGTTTTAGTTTTAAATTTTTAAACAATTAAAATTAATCATTACAAATTAAAATTAAAATTAATCATTACAAATTAAAATTAAAATTAAAAATATTAATTTATTAGGTATAAAATTTTAAAATAAATACCTAAAATTCTAAACTTAATTAGTTTATAGAACTA